CTACTTTATTTGATGTTGTAGATTAAAAGACTAATCTTTTGAGTAAATGTCAATGTATTGTCACTTTAATTTATTTGGGGTATTTCGAAAACAGTGTAATTATCCATGTTGTGAAATTACACTAGATATATTGTTGTTATTGTCTTATTTTAATTTATTGACTTTGATCCGAAATTATCTGGTTTTGGTACAAATAGATGTGTTTCTACCTTTTCTTAATTTAGAAGAACTGATTTAAGCTTCTTAGTTTTAGCATGGTGATAAAGATTGTATTTTGATATGTTTTACCTGAGTCAATGGTCTTTAGAGGCAACCTATCTACTTGCACGAGGTAGGGAAAGGTCTGCATACATTCAACTCTTTCCAGATCTCACTTGCGGGATTTCATGGGTTATGTTGTTGTTGTTGATAAAGATTGTAATTTGGGGTTGATTTTTGTTTTGGGTTTGTTTCAGGGAAGTGAAGTAGAATTTGAGAAAGGGGTAGAAAAGGAGGAGGAAGAAGAAGCAAAAACAGTAGTAGACGCTGCCATGACGATTACTCCGGCAATAAGGATTTCTGACAGAAAACTGATGGTGAAAGACAGAACAATATTAACAAATGTACCTGACAACGTACTCATTACTTCAGGTGCTGCATCAGGTCCATCGGAGGGTGTATTTCTTGGTGCAGAATTTGATCAAGACAACAGTCGCCATGTTGTGTCACTGGGGAAATTACAGGATGTTCGGTTCTTGTCTTGTTTCAGGTTCAAGTTATGGTGGATGGCTCAGAAAATGGGTGATAGGGGAAGTGAAATCCCAATGGAAACACAATTTCTTCTTGTTGAAACAAAAGATGGATCTCATCTCGGATCCAACGACAACAACAATGATGATAATATTGTGTATGCTGTTTTCCTTCCATTAATTGAAGGTTCATTTCGAGCTGTTCTTCAGGGGAATCCTGAAGACGAGCTGGAATTATGCCTTGAAAGTGGCGATAAGGACACTGTTGGCTCAGCATTTAATCAAGCAATTTATATGCATGCTGGCAGTGATCCGTTTATTGTCATCACGGAGGCGATAAGGGCGGTGAAGTTACATCTCAAGACTTTCCGGCAACGGCACGAGAAGAAGCTCCCCAAAATTGTTGATTACTTTGGGTGGTGTACTTGGGATGCTTTTTATCAAGAAGTTACTCAAGAAGGCGTTGAAGCCGGACTCGAAAGTCTTACAGCTGGTGGTATCCCGCCAAAATTCATCATCATCGACGATGGCTGGCAGTCAGTCGGCGGTGATCCAGAAGTCGATAAACCATTGATGAGACTTACAGGATTAAAAGAAAATGAAAAATTTCAGAAGAATGAAGATCCAACGGTGGGGATTAAAAACATTGTGAATATAGCTAAAGAGAAATACGGGTTGAACTATGTGTACGTATGGCATGCGATAACGGGTTATTGGGGCGGAGTCCGACCAGGAGTGAAGGGGATGGAGGAATACGGGTCGGTTGTGAAGTATCCGGATATTACAAAAGGGGTGATGGAGAATGAACCAGGTTGGAAAACGGATGCAATTGCGGTTCAGGGTTTGGGTTTGGTTAACCCGAAAAGTGCTTATAAGTTTTATAATGAAATGCATAGTTATTTGGCATCAGCTGGGGTGGATGGATTGAAGGTGGATGTGCAGTGTATATTGGAGACACTAGGGGGTGGTTTAGGGGGTCGGGTTGAGCTCACTAAACAGTATCATCAAGCTCTTGATGCTTCCGTTGCTCGGAATTTCCCTGATAATGGTTGCATTGCTTGCATGAGCCACAGTACTGATGCGCTTTACTGGTATGTTCACTTTCTATTTTGGTTAAATATTTTCCATTTTTGATGATGAACTTCAAGTCTTTACAGCTGAAATTTAGTTCTAAGTGATTCATTTGATGTTAGCGTGATCTATATTTCTCATGTTAACCACTAATTTTTTGGTCAGTTTCTTGAAATATTGAGATTTTTCTTGATTTTGGGAAAGTAGATGCATATCAGAATATGTAAAGATCTGATTTTTCAGACTTTTCTCTGTCGGTGTTTTGATTATTTTTCATTGAGAAATAGAACATTTCTAAAGTTTTCGACAAAGTAAATTGTATTACCATCTAAGTATTCCTTATTTGTTAAAGTTCCCATCTTTTCTTTTTCTTTAGTTACTAGCATACAAAGTAGTATATTCATGTAGCTTCTGGCTGGCCTGATGTGCCAAATGAAAAATACTCTAGATGCCATGGTTTCCTCCAAATAGTTGCTGGAATTGCTTAAAAAAAATAGTTTTTTGGCAAGTTGATATTTCTGTATTTATAATATCAATAACAGATAACTTGTTTAATGTTGTATTTGGATCATTTCAATGGAACAGTTCAAAGCAGACGGCAGTTGTGAGAGCATCAGATGACTTCTATCCAAGAGATCCAGCTTCACACACCATTCACATTGCTTGTGTGGCATACAACAGTGTGTTCCTTGGAGAAATTATGCAGCCTGATTGGGACATGTTCCACTCCCTTCATCCAGCAGCCGAGTATCATGGCTCGGCGAGGGCGTTGAGTGGTGGACCTGTCTATGTTAGGTAATAAATTTATGTCCAATGAATATTTATATGGATCCTTGTTTTGTAATGACAGTAGCATGTGATGATTTGTGTCGAGTTGCTAATTTTTTTGCTCTGTTACGAATGACAGTGATGCACCTGGCAAGCACAACTTTGATGTTCTGAGGAAGCTTGTTCTTCCCGATGGTTCAATTCTTCGTGCTCGTTTGCCTGGTCGACCTACAAAGGACTCCCTTTTCACTGATCCTTCTCGTGATGGTGTTAGGTACGTGTTCCATTTTCACCATTAATGCTATTTATTGAATGTTCAGCTTAGGTGGTCCTTAGTTGAAATTTTTGAGGTGGAAGGTTGGTTTGTTTAGAATGGGAAATAAGGATAAAGAAGTGACTTATAATATTTTTGACCACAAGAATGTGCAGTTTATATTCCTCTATTTCCTTCTCTTTTTTTTTTTCTTCATAACTATGGTTAAGCTGTGGCTGATAATGGGAAGTGAACTGTTTTGGTAATATGATTACAAATAGTGAGAGTTGTGTCTAACGAACATAATGATGTTTTCAGCCTTTTGAAGATATGGAACATGAACAAATACAATGGTGTTCTTGGAATATACAACTGCCAAGGTGCAGCGTGGAGCACGGCTGAGAGGAAGACCACGTTCCACAAAACCAACTCAGAGGCGATAACAGGCTATATAAGGGGCCGTGATGTCCATTTCATATCTGAAGCTGCCTTGGACCCCAACTGGAGTGGAGACACAGTTCTTTACTCTCATCGAAGTGCTGAGCTTGTTGTTCTCCCGTATAATGCAGCAATGCCTGTTTCTTTTAAGATCCTTGAGCACGAGACATACACTGTCACGCCTATTAAGGTCTTGGCACCTGGCTTCAGCTTTGCACCTTTGGGGCTCATTGACATGTACAATGCTGGTGGGGCAATTGAAGGGCTAAAATATGAGGTGAAGGCAGGCGCAGAATTGTCTGAACTCGAGGCTGGATATCAAGGTGAAGGAAATCTTGTGGCTGAAGATAAAATTGAGAACTTGAGCACAGAAGCAGTTGCAGTAGTGTCGATGGAAGTAAGGGGATGTGGCCGATTTGGTATTTACTCGTCTGTCAAGCCGAGGAAGTGCAGTGTGGGTGGAGATATGGTTGATTTTGCCTATAACTCAGAATCTGGTTTGTTAACTTTGAATCTTGATGCTATGCCTCCAGCAGATCAGAAAGTGCATATCATTGAAGTTGAAGTATAGATATTAGGAAGGAAGACATTATTTGGCTTAGATTATTAAGAAGGGGATTTTTTGGGGACTCAAAAGGTGGGATTGGGACTTAGATTTATGGTATAACTTCTCCGGTCCTGCTAACACGAGATGCTTTGTGCCTTGCTAGATTATGATCCATAGTATGTGTCTCCACTTATTTGTATCACCATTGAATAGTTAAGCTCCATTTGCTTTTCATGGAAAGAATGGCATGGTAGAAGGTGATGATCTAAGAGAAGGAATTTAATGTGGTCCATTAATAATGGAATATGTGATTATGATTGTGTTTGACAATGCTGTTTTCATTCTCTTGTTATGTTTGGGCCAACTTGCGCAAACATTGATTATTTGTAGAGATTATGATATTTTTTGGTCCCGTTTGGATTGCTTTTCTTGTGGCTATTACGGTGGAAGAATTGTAAATTTGATTTTCCAGTACCTTCTCCCCCTTTGCAGCTTTGGTTCCTACTACCTCCAAACCCCAGAGCTTTCAGTCCTCCAACGCTCCTACCCCTAGTTTTCGTTCTTATGGCTCAGAGATTGAACAATTTGACAGTAAAAGTTTATGCTTTGTTATGTATCGTTGCTATTGTATATTGTATTGTGTTGTCTTGATGATTATAATGTTTGGATAGATTGTGTTGGTTCTCGTTAAATAGTGAGCAATATGATGGACAAATCTACAATAGAATTATTAGATAAAAATATGAGAAGAAAAAGATAGGTAATGAGGCTATAATCTCTTTGGATCATTTGTGGCATCTTGTTGAGAGGAAAGATGGAGGCCCTACGTGGAAACACATGATGGATCATTCCACCCCTAGTATGAGCTATCAATTAGAGATAGTTTAGCTGGTCCTAGAAATGGAGCCACAAGACAATGATTCTTTCTGTGAAGAGTGTAGTTGACGTCAATTTACTTGCTTGGGATTCTCTAACTACCACAAAATCCTTCAATTAGAGAAATGGACTAAAACATCTTACATGTTGGATCAAACTGTAGGTCATCAAAGACACAAAAAATATAACAAGTAGAGTTCGATTTCATTCTTGTATCAAACTGAAGCCTTGCATACACAACCTTACCCAGACTCCATTGGTGAGATCACCTCGAGTATGTTGTTGTTGGATAAAAAACTGAACTAGTGAAGAAGGGAAATTTGGAGAAATAAAAAGAACAATTTTGAATTTCTAGAGAATGTACATTATAAGAAGACAGTGTATTACCAAAAAGCACTTACAATCATACTTATGACTTACAGCTAAATCTTCCATTTTTACAAGTATAAAATAGTTTAGCTGCAAAAGAATGGCTCCCAACTGAAAATTTCTCTCCCTAACAGAAGCCATTTGAGGGGTCTGTGGACTTTTGTTGCTTTTGATGGAGCTTTTGGCCTACCCTTTTTTCAGTTAATCTTGACAGTTTAATAATTCCATTGATGGTCTTCTGGCCTAAAAAGGAGTCCCTATTCTTCGAAGTCAGATTCGTTCTGTGCAGACAATAACACTTCTTCAAGTTCCTTACTGAAGTCATCATTGTCATCCTGCTCTTCAGCCACTTCTTGTTGGGACTTATCATGCTCTTCTCCAACAACATCAACTGAGTCTTTCACAGGCTGATGAAGAATGCCTGTTTTTTGATAAAATAATTCCTTTGTTGGGACTTATCATGCTCTTTTCCAACAACGTCAACTGAGTCTTTGACAGGCTGATGAAGAATGCCTGTTTTTTGATAAAATAATTCCTTCTGAGCTTTCCAGTCATCAGCAGTCTTCCCGACCACGTCTCCTATCAATGTCTGGTTTTCTGCTATGTGCTTTATACTTTCAACATCCACAATGTCACTAGCCTCTTTAAGAAAAAAACAAGAAAAAACAAGTGAAAAGATGTCCTCCTCAACTTTATTGAAGGGGGAGTCAAAACCTTGGATGCAAAAGAAACCTGTGAAATTATGCATGCCCAATCCCCTGAATCTTGAAATTAAGCTCTAACTTGGGAGGAAAGTTTTAGACTGCCTATACACTATCTGAACAATACTTCTGTGAACGAATTCAGGGTAGCTCACCGCATAAACGTATTCACAGCTACTTCAGTATGTACCAATGCATAATTTTCACTGTTATTGAATACTAAATATCCTTACTTAGCACATCAATAGTGCTGACCACAAATAGAAAATGACCAACTGACCAAGATATATTTCCGTTAAAAAACTTAAGAAGGTACCTTTAATACTAAATATGCCTTGACACAAAATAGTGCAGACCACATATAGAAAATGGCAAAAATATATTTCCGATAAAAGCTTAAGAAGCTCATTGAGTTACCTTTAATACTAAATATGCCGTACTCACATATAATAGTGCTGACAATACATAGAAAATCACCAAATATGTTCCGTTAAAAGCTTTGAGCTTATAGAAATACCTTTAATAGCTAGATCTTTCGCCCTTGCATAATCTGCTGACTTTTGCTTGAGCAAATCCACCTCAAGCTCCAATCCCTAGGAAAAATGGGAATATGAAGTTAGCAGTCTCAAGTCAAAGAATGAGACATGCAATAGCAGGTTAAGTCACAAGAGACCTGATGAAAGGATTTGCACAACTAATGCAGCCTCCCACCTAGCTCACTTGCTAAGCAACTCCAACATTCAAATAATCCAATTAACTGAAAGAATGCCCACATGTCCAAATAATCCTCTAACAATATATTTGATTTTGCGTCATTTAAAGCTTAAAACCCTCCATTTGAGTTTATCTCATAAACAGGAAACTAGTAAAGGGAGGAAACATAAATAACACCTGCATCTGATTCTGAAGATACTTGCACAATTACATTTACAAAAAAAACACAGAAACACCGTCACGACAGCAGAAACAATATCCTATTCCAGCAAACACAATTGGTTCACATTTTGGAAGGGAGCAATTCCAACCAAATTAAAATCACAAGTTATAGAAAGTCGATTGCTCTAAAATAACTAAATATTACTTGTATTTTTTATTTTGACGAAGTTGTCACCTGATTATTTTCTTGCAATCAATAGAAGTACAGGTCTACTAAATATTTCCATCAAAATGGTGCTTGAGTTCAACGAATCCTTGTAACTAGCCACATCAATCCATATGAACACTGTATGCAAAAGTACAGAGCTGGAAGTATATTCTAGAAATCAAACATACCATATCCATGTGGGTGAAATGCTCGATCCGGCTATTTGCAAATAACCTACATCATCCAAGGAAACAAGATGAGGGAAGGTTTAGAGTAGACTGTGAAATAACAAGCTGTAGCAGGAAAAGTATCAGTAACGTACTTTTTGCATGCTATTTGGATACTTGCATTTTGTACTTCTGACAGTTCATCTAATCTCTCCGCAGCAGAGCTTTCATTCACATCCACAAACCCAAAAAGAAACATGTTCCTATCTAACATACGCTTGACTACAGCAGGGACTACCTTAACATCTTTGGCCTTTGCCTCAGCAACAACGTTCCTAAGATTCTTTAACTCTCCTGTCAAATGGAATTGACGAAATATCGTCAAATCACAGCAAGATAAGTGCATCAAAAGCACCCCAGAGTTGCACAATGAACTAAATTGGTAACCTAACACTAGAAAATTGGTAAACAAAAAATACTAGACGAAGTACCAGATTCAAACCTCCACATACCAATATAAAAGGAATCCACAGACATTAATCAGATGGTATACATCCTAAGTGGAACTCAGCCAGAAGGAACAAGAAATTTCAGACTAATATAGCACTATGGTCCAATGGTTTGCTGGAGCACTATTGATCAGCTGTTTAGAATGTCTCCTAGACAGAAATTTCTTTCTCTGATTGGCACTCCAAGATAAGAAGTTGATGGGATATGCACCCAAAGAAACACACAATTTTTTTTATATCCTCATAGATCTCCACCTGAAAGAATATGAATAAAATGTGGCAATTCATTTATCATACGGGTGTGGCTACATATCACGAACACTGAATTATGGTGAACCAGTCTAGAAGTGTGAACTAATGCATATTGAATCTGCAGATGATAGTTCAAAACTTATAATGTTCATTGGAGTATTTCTGATGCTGAAGATGCAACGACTTCTCATGAATATAGAACTGCCATAAGGTAATTTGAGAAATGAGAGAGAAAGGAGATCATTTGGCATCCAAGGAATTTTTCGTAAGAAGTCCTGCTGATTATTGTTCTTTAAATAAAACACAACATGTCCTTCAAATGAAATTGAAACTACCACTTAAGAACTTGTTCGCAAAACTATAGTATAAGCTGATATTGTGATTGGTGGTCTCAGTAACACCAACTTATTCATCACCTATATTTTCATTTTTCATAAATTATCCAAGAATTCCTTGAATTTTGTGCTTTAACTACTATGAATCACTGAGAAAACTGAATACAGTATTGACCCACCTGTGGTTACAATTATACAGGTTAATGTCCCAAACCTAAGCCAAGAAAAGTTTTAACTTCAGTCGAAGCAACAATTGCGGACACCTATTAGTGGTCAAAATCCATTCACATAACCTGCAAAATATAGAAACTTGATAGTCCAGTTACATGTTTGGAGAACTCTCCTAAAGCAACCTACGTATAGTATGAGTAATAAAACTATGAATCAACATCCTCACTAGAGCAATTCACTATGCCAATGATCTAGAAGATGATCTACGGAAAATAACTGTAAATTTTACTTCCTAATTGATCTGATCTAAAGCATAAATTGTGTTAAATCAGTTTCCATGTTCCATGACACATTTTAAAACAGAAATCTAGGAAGTATCCATGATGACATATGCTCTAGACAATGCCATAAAAAAAAACAGGAGATTTGCATCTGCATTTCAAGTTTGAAAGCATGTAGTTAGAACATATTGGATTCGGAAATTTGGCCAAAGAATGGTGGAATTCTTTCAACATTATTGGCAGGCTAGATTTCATCTTTTGCAAAGAAACTCTAATTATTGAAAGTTAAGCTCAAGGAATGGAACATGACTTCTTTTGCACAATTGGAAAATAGGAAATTCTTCATCCTTAACAGGATTATAAAGTTGAACCAGAATCCGACAATTCTCCCCCTTTGGATGAGCATCAAATGTCAAAGGTGCACAATCAGATTGAGCTGGAGGAGATTTTCAGATTGGAAGCGAACTCAAGGCGACCAAAATCGAGGTGCTTATGGTTGAACAAGGGGATCATAACACTAGCATCTTTCATAAGATGGCAAATACTTGTAGGAGATTTAGCCATATTGACAAGCTAGATATTAATGGGACTATTACAGAAGACAGGGATGTGATTGCTCATCAGATTCTTTCTTTATATTAGGCACATAGGATGAAGTTTCTTATATTTCCAGTGATGAAGCTGACTAACAGCTGCAAAGACATTCTCTTGAAGAGGAGATTCTTGGTGTATTAAGAGCCAGATGGTTTCTCCATGGGTTGCTACAAATACTGTTGGTATACAGTTAAAGGAGACTTGATGTGGGCTACAATCATTTCCACGATCTGGAGCATTTTGAGAAAAGCTTAAATTCGTCTTTTATTGCTCTCATCCCAAAGAAGTGCTATAAAAAACTTAAGGGATTTTAGACCTAGCAGTTTGATAGATAGTATTTATAAGATTATATCTAATGCTCTTATGGACATATTAAAAGTTGTACTTCCTAAGTTGATCAATACTTCTCAGGTGGGTTTCTTAAGTGACAGAAATATCACTGATGCAGCTTTGATAGCTAACAAATGTTTGGACTCAAGGACGAAAATTGGAAAACTTGGAATTCTTGCAAATTGGATATGAAGAAAGCACTTGGATCATGTTAATGGGAAGTTCATGCTGGATTTATTGAGATAAATGGGCGTCAGTATCAAATGGATCATTAGATTAGCTTTTATATTTCATCAGTGAAGTTCCGAATTCTCATAAATGGTGCAGCACATGGTTTTTACTCTAGTCAAAGAGGTTTGAGACAACAAGACCCTTTATCTCCTTTCCTCTTTGATTTGGTGATGGGGAATGATGGAGGGACTCAGTATGATGACTCACAACGTGGCTCAAGTAAATTGAATTTCTGGTTTCTCTTAGGGGCCCTGAAGGTTTGAAAACCTCTCATATTCTTTATGCAGACGACATAAATCTTCTATGAAGCCAAGGAACAACAATTTATGTTCTTGAGGATGTTTCTAACAATTTTTAGGCTGTTTCAGGCCTTGGTATTAATTTTGCCAGAAACTCCATATTCCCAGTCAGCAATGTCTGATATTTACAGTTTGGTGTATCTTATGATGCAACATTAGATCTATCCCTACAAAGTATTTGGCACTTCCTTTGGGGAAAAATACAATTCAGCGGCCATTTGGAATGAGGCTCTTGGAAAGATGGAGAAAAAATTATCCAACTGGAAACAACAATAATTTTCTATGGGTGGAAGTGTCACTCTAATCTACAGTGTTCTGAATGCTCTTCCCACTTGAACAATATCACTATTTCCTGCTCCTGCTTCAGTCTTAAAGCGCATGGACAAAATTACAAGGGATTTTCTATGGAAATGAAATAAACAGTCCAAGTCTTTTCCCAAATAAAATGGAACAGTGTCACCAGAGATAAGAAGAATGGCAGTTTTAGCATTAAGAACCTAAAGCTTCATAATGTTAGTCTCTTGATCAAATAGCACTGGGAGGTTTAACAGGGAAGAGAGCACACTTTTGTAGAGGATTCTAGTTGATAAGTTCACACTAGATGGTTTTGGCATACCAAAGTTTCAAATGTCCCTCATGGAGTCTGGAAGCATATCCAAACACATTGGAGTCTCTTTGAAACAAATGAAGCTTTCTGGTAGGTTGTAGCAGAAGCTTTAGATTTGGGGAAAATGCTGATTTTTTTATGAACATAGTTAGAATCTTTTTCTCCAACAAAGCTTAAATGACGAGGAAATATAAAGAGCATGCTCTCTTTTGAATCTACTTGGCACCATAACAAAAGGATGATACTTTCAAATGGAAACTTTTCAGTGAAGTCATGCTACAAATTGTGAAAAAATGGCCATACCACTTCTTCGGGCTGGAGGAAATTTGGCACAACGAAGCAAGTAAGCAACCTTCGAAGGTATCTTGCTTCTCTTGGTTGGTGGTTGAAGAAGCATGTCTCACTCAATCAAATCTTGAGAGAAGAGGAATACAACTATGTAGCAGATGTCCCCTTTGCAAAGAGAATCCTGAAGTGGCATGCCACTTATTTTTTCACCACAAGATCACTCACCAGATTCAAAGATGTTCTTTGCAATTTTTAACATGAAACGGACAGTGCCTCACTCTATTCTAGAATTTCTGCATAGCTGGAACAGAGTTGGGCTCAACAAGAAGGCACACAGTTTGGAACACATAGACCTTAGGTCATTTGGTGGACAATTTGGATAGAATGAAACAACAGAATTTTTAAAGGCAAAAGGAGGAATATACGTAGGCTTAAACTTAAGACATTTTCTTGTTAGCTTTCTGGTGGAACTTGGCTATGTAAATGATGTTGATTCCTTCTTAGATATATCGGGGAGCTGCACAATATGTAAATCTTGATGCACTTTCTTAGTCCCGTCCTTTCCATTTATAAAATTTACCATTACTTATCAAATGAAAGAGATTAGCAATTAATGAAACAACTGATTAAGAATTGGATCTAATGTGTTTTAATTAAGATTTTGATGTGCTGTTAATTTTTCTCATCTCATTAGACCAATCTTGAACCACAAAGAGAGAATCATCACATATGCAGAACAATTTCATGTCATATCATGTTAAGAAGATAGTATTTATACCCAGAGATATATAAATCTTGAAAGGAGGCTTGAATGGCTGTGTTTCATAGAGGCAATATAGGCAATATAGTCCACCCAGTCTACTCAAAAGAGAATTAGTAGACACCATGTAACCTGCAATACATTACATTTGGTTAATCTGCTGAAAGTAAATGTCAGTCAAGATGAAAATCCTATTGTATGATGACTGCTCCTTCCACCAAAATTTTAAGAGAAAAACGAAGGCTTTTCTTAAAAGTGTCATGACTTTACACTCCCTTTTTTTTTTGAAGAGGGAATGAATGTCATCATAAATTGAAAATGATTTTGATTTAAGGTTTCTCTATATTTCTGTTATGTTTTGTGATATGGCTCTTAGTTCGTGTTCTCCACATTCTTACTCATCGACTGATAGACCAAGTGGAATTTGGTTAAAATAGCACATGAAATGCATCATATTAGCAATCAAATAAATCTATGACCATTTGTATTTGTAATACGAAACCACATATATCAAATAAATAAATAAACGGTGTTCCCTTCATGAAATTGATTTGAGTCCTACTTATGAGAAAAAGGCATAGGCATCGCAAATCTACTGGTACTTCAATGCTATAAAAAAATTTAACAGTCCTATAGTGTGCACCTCATGATGGTCGTATTTCACATTAAAGGTAGAGAAGATTATATATCTGGTTGGTCATACTTTCTCTTTCTTTTGTTTGGGGTGCAGTAGATGCTAATACGTCATACATTTTAGTATGCCACAGTAATCAGAATCATTCTCTCCGGAAGAAACTAAAAATATGTTACATTAGGCAAACCAACAGAGTCTAGAATGGAAAAAAATTAACATACCAATGCAGTAGGCATAGAGTGATTGTATAAAGCATGCCTGATCTTTAGAGGGACTAGCCTCGAAAATATAGGAGAACTTTTTAGAAACCCACACTCTCTTCATTTCTGCGAAAGTAGGAGATCCGCCCTACAAAATAACCATATTATCAGTATGAACAATCATGAGAAGTGCAGGATAAACAAATAGAGATTGATATCTACTGTATACTTAAACTGAAGACAACACGCATAAACAAGTTAGTAGTACCTTGTCAAACTCATTTATAAGCTCGTCAATGTCTAATTTGAATGGTTTAAGGTCCATATTGCTAACCTTGACTTCTCTTTATGACCTACAAGAAGAAAATTTCTTGATTAGACTGCTGCAAAGAACATAAGGAACTATAAATGCAATATCATTACAGTTAGAAAATATGATGACAAAAAACATACAATAAAACGCATAACAGACCTCTGTGCGCTAAGATTGTCTGGTTCATTGGTAAAAGTAAATCAACATATTTGCAGGTTCATAGAGCAATAACTTAACAATTTAAACATATCCGTGGGTAATTACTTGTTAAATACGATGGTTAGTTCATTCAAGAAATAATTAGTGTGAATCATACTTTTCAAGTAACAACAAATTATTCCAGTAACGCTAAGCATATAAAGAAATTGTAAGGGCATCTCAAAAACGGTAAGAATATTTAAAGTACAGGTTCGATACAGATCATCAATATATTTAAAATTGTTCCCAATAAGATGCAAATTCTCACATGCAATATTCAAAATATTCGGCAACACAATTCATTTTCAATTCGCTTCCATGTAAATTATGTATAAATCATGCAATTTGTGGAAAATTCACTACGCAGTACTCACAACACTCGTGCCGAGATACCAAACGCGTCACAACGAGCAATTCATTTGACTTCTTCAACTACCTAATATCACTAAAAGAATCTATGCGTTAGCTTTATGAACTTTTATCATAATAAATTCACTGTAACTGACCCTCAATTTGTCCAATCGTGTTTGTCCATCTATGAGTAGCTCAAGCCAATCAATAATCTACCAATACAACTTATTTGTATCATTAAATTCATTCGGTTCATCAAAAGTTCCATGGATTTTCTTAACCCTAGTATTTCAACTATTAATCTCATCCCAACTCTTCAAAACAATTCATAATTTAGTTTATCCATATCATATAAAAGTCAAATCAAATCTATAAATTTTCGATCAAAAAAATAAGTAAAAGATTACCTTGAGATCAAATTTTCAAAGGCCTTTGACAGCTTGTTGAAGTAGGAAGAAAAACGATTGATTTCAGTGAGTATGAATAATGAGATTCATGGATCCCAAAAATGAGATTTGGCTTTAGGAACGGCGGAAGGGATCAACAGAGGTTTTTTTGCCTCTGTGTGGTTTTTGCGAATCTCTTTGTGAGAGAAAGAAATTATGAGGTATAAAACTTTGGGGATTTGCCTCCTTTTTATACTGGATAGTCCAGCAGTGGTACCCCCC